TATTAGGAAATTATATATATGTAATAATGATAAAGTTTATACATATATACCAATAAAATTGACAAAAATGCTTGTTAAATATAGGCATTCAATATGTACGGATCTTGACTTAAGGTTTATGCAAGTGAGACAGGGTACAAATACAATCATCATGCATTACAGGTTTGTATAATAAAAAAATTTAGCCATGTATATATTATTTTTTAATATACATATAATAATGAAAATTTCTAATATACATTTATGTAAAAACAAACAAAACAATATTGAAAAGTGGTATATATTTAGAGGTTGGAAGCACAGGTGTAAGGTTTGCGACAAATACAATCATCAAAGTAGCAGATAAGATAAATGATATGAATGTAATAATTTTTTAAGAAAAGAAACACTAAGTAAAAGCTTCACTATTTCATAATAGTTTCAAGTTTCTAACTCATTTATTATATCCTTGAATAATTAATAACAATAATAAAAATAAATTTCTATTACTATGGAAAAATACAATATTGGTATTGCCATTTTATCATGTAATAATACGTGACCTGTTGTACAACAATCTGGTTGTTTGTATAAACTATAAAAAGGTAGAATGTACGACTAGCATGGTTAAATATTCATCTGATTGACCAATGATTATTTTATTTTTTCATGATTTTGATTGGCTAATAATTTTTTATTATGTTATATGTTATATATGCATATGTTTTAAAAATACAAGCACAGTCATGCTTTGTATAGAGGCTTGTGATATTGTTATCCCGGCTTGCATATATAGTAATAAAAACAATTATTAAATATAATTAAATGAGCCAATAGTATCTTTTCTAATAAGATTAAAAAATTATGTTTTATAAATAAATTATAGGTTTTATATATTTATTATTATTATGTATTTCTTTAAAATATTCTGTAATCTGTGTTACAATATTACAATAGTGTTACAAAAAATTGCATCGTATACATATTAAATATATTAATATATTAAACACAATTGAATTTTTGAAATTAAATTCTTAAATAAAATGCCAAGACAAAAAATTAATAAAGAGCCTTGTTTGATTTATAATTGTGATAAAAATCAGAATAATTTTCATTGTCTAACTTAATTAGCAATAAGAAAAGCAATTGTTAAACAAACTATTCAACAATATCCATACTTACAAATAGATCAACAAGTTTGTTATTCTCATTATATAGCCATCATTGAGAATGAAAATATAGAGCACGAAAAAACAACCATTCCAAGTAAATCAGTTAAATTGTTACTCGGCAATCGTATTAAAAAAATGACAATAGTTTTGTATAAAAAAAAACAAAATAATCTTGTTCTTCATCCATATGAATTTGAAAAAATGCTCAACATGCAGATCCTAATTTAAAAGGTTTTTTTGCTGAAATGTGTAGTATATTAATACCATGTGATTGTTTAGCTTACAACAAAAATAAAGTTAAAAAAAAAGTTGTTACAATTTTATATTTGATGGCTAGATTGCACAATAAGCATGCAAATAGTTTTAAATTAGAGCTCAGCTTATATCTTGCAGGATCTGGAACTATATGTAATGTAATTAACATATTAAACAATGCTGATATTTTAGCCGCCTATAAGAGCGTGTATAATTATAAAAAAAAAGTTGCTGATGAACATCCGATATGAGTAAAAAATTATTTTAATAATAATAAAAATCATCTTTGTATTTATAATCTAGATGATTACTATAATATCTACAAAAATCGTCATCTAAATAGCATTTTCTTATCGAAAGCCGCTTATCTTGCAACAAGCATATGTAAAAAGGTCAACAAATCAGATCTAGTACCAATTATGTTTAATGGTATATCAGTCCATAACCCAAATAATATCAAGGCTCTGCTTATTTGCAAAAAACTTATAGACCAGTATCAAAATTATTTTGACCTGTTATATTTACAATAGAAAGCCCAGTAGACTAATTCAAATTTATTTGAATTTAATAGAATTGATCAACTTATAGTACATATCTACGACAATGCCATTATAAAGCAAAAAGAAGAAAGAAAAATAAAAGATACAATTTTAGTAGGCATAAAGAAACAGCAACTTTATTATATACAAGATTACCTTAAAGTATTAAATATAATTTTAAGGTATAACAAAGAAACAAATTGCCTCACTAACAATGTAGCACCACTTGTTGCAGATTGGCTAGGCTAACTTTTTATTCATAAAGCACTAACGCATCTACATAATGAAAATAGAAACTTATCAGTACAACCAGAAATAATATCTTTTATTTCTCTTCTTGGACCATTGTATGTTTCTCTTAATACTTAGGAGCATATAATAAAAATTTATTACCTATTTTTTGAAAAGCTCTTTCATAATATGTTTGGCGAAAAAAAAAAACTAGCAAAAAAGCCCAGACCCTGGAGAACAAACTTTTTATTAGAATTGGCATTCTCTACATGAATCAAAATTAAAGAAGATGTAGTAAAAAAATTTACTCATCTGCAAAAAAATATCGAATATCAAATAACTATAGAGCTTTTTGATAATATTGTACCAGCAGCCCTTGATGTCTATATGTTGCTATTTTGGTCTGGTGCTTTTGAAAACTATATAGAAACAATCTTTCACATTTGGACCTTTGCATTATGTTGGAAGTGAAAGAATTATAATAAAACACCACTAGTCTTTTTGTCGGATATATTTTATTAGAAAAAGAATAGACACCTAATGAAAGAAGCTATAGAAAAAAATTTAATTCAATTTAATGACTATTGGGTAGAAAACATGCATAGCAGAATACGGGCAACAACAACATCAAATGATAGTGCTGAAAATATATAAAAACAAGCCTTCATATTGGATTATCATAAAGATTCAGCCTTTTGTGAAATGTTTTCAACAAAAACTAAATATCCTTACTCTCCACAAGATTTGAAGTTTCCAACTAATAAGATGTGTCTCTTTCTTCTTTCTCAATTTCGAAAAATTTGTAGAAAAAATGAAGAGACAAGTTTAATTAGTAACAAAATTTCATCTTTAAAAAAATGGACCAAAAAAAACTTACAGACTATTTATGATCTTTCTACTTTAGGACAATTGGAGACAACAAGTATGCTATTCAGATATAGTATCTTATCACCCCATTATTTGATGGCTATGATTATTGTCATACGAAACTAATTATTAATGAAGGAATTGTCTTAATATGTCGGCACAGATACGATATAGAATGCTACAAAAAGATAGATAACAAGTATAGATCCTGTTTAAATTATTTTAAAGATAGTATTTGGCACAATGTTAATTCATTTTTAAAATGCTTAAATGCAGAGACAAATAAAGAGGCAAGAGAACTAATTGACGAACCGGATGATACAGATAAAGCTGATTTGGATGAAGAAGATAATAATCAACTAGAAATTGATCAATATTTAGAATTGGACTTGTGAAATAGAATTAGAGAAATGAATAGTTGGTAAAATAAAGCTTATTTTTAATAAAGCTTTTTAATCTTAAAGCTTTATGTTTCGAAACAACTGATCTAAATTTTTTTTTTGGCAATAAGTTCTTAGTATTTTTAGGTACATATATAAAATTATAAAGAGCGAATAAAGCTTTGACTTCAAATAATAGTCGTAGAATTTCACTAAACCTGCTAAACTGTGTTTTTTTTGAAAATACTATTATTATAAAAGTCTTTGTTGAATCTGATTATACTTGATTAAATTTTCTAATAAGTAAAGGAACTAATAACCAAAGTGACTATAAAGTTTTATACATACTTAATTTGTGATATACTAATTTGTCTATAAGCCGAAAATGGCACTTTTCCTATCTATATATATGTAAAATTCATATAACATATTGGCCAATTAAATAGATCTTCAACCATGCTTGTACAACTATTTCTTACTAAAAAAATTATTTCATCTTATCCAAAAAACTAAATATATAAATATGTCTACTACCAGAAAAACAATTTTACTTTCTACAATTAATAAAGTTGAAGGATATAAGACAACAGAGGCTCTGATAAAATTTTTAGGTGACTAAAATATAGGACTAGATGATGATGATCTCAAAATTTTTTGAGAACAAAAACTTGTTAGTAAAGTTCTCCTCAGCTTAAATGTTGATGAACTTATGTAAGCTGGGTTAAAACTAGATCTGGCTAAAAAAATCTCAACCTGGATTGAAAAAATCAAGTGTGAAGGACAGGATAAGTAGTACTACGACTGCATTTGAATATTCCAAACCTATACTGCTTTCTCTGCAATAATTTCATTTATTAACTTGGGTTTCATATTTATTATACAGGTACGAATGCAAAAGATCAGAAAATAAAAGAATTGGAAGAAAAACTAATAACACTTCAGCAAGAAAAGATTGCAACCTCATAAGAGAATCTATTCATAATATGCAAACTATTATGTAGAGTGCCTCTGATACAACTAATAATGTTTGCAATGCAGATCTTCATCAGCTACTAAGTGACATTTTTTTAAAGTGGATAATTATGAAAAAGGTTGTATAATATATGTCTATGTCTGTAGAATTTTGTAAACTCAACTACTTTTTCAATCTGTCCAGAACAAGAAAGAAATGTAAAAAAAATTTGGAGTTACCTTCTCCCATCATCCTTTGCACTTCTTGGTAATCTTATTAAATATCATATTAAGGATAAGCAGTCTTATTCATTATTCTCCAGAATGCATTGGCCCATTGGTACAAGTTTACCACGATATATTCAATCAGTTCCTGCATAATTATTATAACAAAGATCTAGAAATAGGAAAAGAACATTATCAATAGGCTCTTAAGTTTATTCATAAAATGGCAGACCTATATCCTAGTGAACATGAGCATTCTAAAAAATTTAGAAAAAAATTTCAACAATTATTTAATGAAGAATTAAAAATAATTCACCTAGATGATAAATCTTCAAATAGTGGTGTATTGGAATATAATTTTTATTCATTTAGTATATTACACCTACTTGCTGAGATAAAGAATGAAATTGGCACTGGTAAATATGATCCGACTACCCAGGCTAGGACTTCTTATGTGAAATATTATACCCAAGAAAAAAATAAGGAATTGCTCAAATAGTGTAACTGGCTGTCTTTTATCTTATACTTAGCTGGACCTTGGGTGTGTGTTTTAGAAACAGTGTATGTTGAGAAACCTATTGTAGATCCCTTAACAGACCTTATACCTCTCATTTCTACAAATATTCGATATCACACAGAGTGAGTAGCATGACTATTCAAAGCTTTGTGTTTGGGAGTTAATAGACTAAAGGAGTATTATGGATCGATAGCAAATCCACAAAATTTACAACAGTTTTTTCCTTATCTGAATCAATACAAACAACAAGATACAACTATAGAATTTACATATGAAAAAAAGCTTGTAGATCAGCCAGACAAGCTTCTTTAGAAAGCTATAACAAAAGGCAAGAGGGAAATTGTTGTTAAATTCATATAGCATTATAATTAGAGAGCACACGAGTTATGTAGCAAAATTGGAAAAGTGCTAAAATTACTCTATATTAGCAAAGAGGTGGTGTATAGTTTTTATATAGTTGTAATGGATTATATTAAGGCCAAGCCACTTTACAACTGCAATAATTCACTTAGTCATAATGAATGTAAAATAGTTTTCGAGAATATTAAAGAAGCTATTAGCAAATTGTATAAGGAAAATATTATTTTTGCTAATCTCCGTGATTCCAACATCTTGGTTAACAAATCTCAAGATCAATATCAAGGAATGTTAATAGATTTTGATTGGGCTAGTGAGGAAGAAATTGAGTGCTATTCATCTTTCATAAATGAAGATATTAATTGGCTACCAGGAGCTGAGGATAGAAAGAAACTGAGTTGGAAACATGATATGCATTGGTTGAAGTTATTGAAATCTAATTACTTAGGTAAAAGTATAGAGCTCGAATGATTAGTTAGCATAATATTTGAGGATAAAGTAGAAAACAAACAACTATGCTAACAAGCTATGCATGTATTCAATATAATTTGTTTTTAATGATATAATAATAAACAAATTCTTGGATTAATTATATTTATACATTTTGGGAATATTCCTATCTCTTTTAATCTTATTTTGAGAATTAAAATATTTATTACCTGCTCTATTGATTATGAATTTCGGGTAAAAATTTTAATTTTTGATTTATTATAGAATTTATTTGGGCAGAAATTAGTTGGATTGGGTAATCTTAATATGCATATTTATTATTTAAAAATGGTTATACATACCTCCGTAAAAGTATGCCTTTATGATTGAGCTATTTTAACGATACTAGCAAGTTAATAAATAATAAAATTTACAGTAAGTTTTTAGCAATAATTGACATAGAATTTATATGTTTTATTTTTTGCTATACAATAGAGCTGGCCCTGGTGGCTGATTTCACATACATAATCACATTTACTTTTGTATATATATTTCGTGAGCTTATTTTATTGTATTATATCGATGTATAACTCGCATATGATCAAGAATTTTTCATACAGACATTAGTCCGCAGACAATAGTATAGACATCATGTATTGTGGGCTAGGTCCCAAACATTTGTATTTATTTTTCGCATGTATCCTGCCTTCTCGCAATTCTTGCTTGAAGCTAGAAAGTAAATAAACCCTGAGTTGATCACTATATAACTTTTTTCGAGCTTGTGAGAAAAAAGTGTATTAATAAAAATTTTCTTGACAAAAGTGATTAGTGTAAACAATTGTTCATGCGCATAATTATTTATTTTGAATATTTAGTGTATAAATAGTATTATCAATCATGTCAAATGCTCAATCTATCAATTCATTGAAAGAATTAAATATGAAACTCTTAGCCAAGATTACAGAGCTTAGAAAAGAGAATATTAAGATTCCCAAACTTAGAGAGAAATTTGCTGAAGTTGAGGCTGAGAAAGTAAAACTAAGCCGGGAGCTTAAAGCTAGAACTAATGAGCTGAAGAAAACTATATCACATTATTCAGTCGAAATTGGCAAACTTAACGCTATAATAGTAGAGTTAGAGAAAAATAGAGCAGTTACCACTAAACTTGAATCTGAGAATACCAAGTTTAGAGATAGAATCACGAAAGTAAAACAGAAGCAGTTGCTAAATAATAATTCTTCTAACAACAATTCATCTAACTTCAATTTGATTGCAGATCAGGTACCTATAGTAATGCAACACAAGAAACTATTGGTGGATATTTCATTACCCAAAAAAATGATACCAGAGGTAATCGTATTAGCCATTAATATACCTGTTATGGACCAATATCATTTGACATTCTCAGAAGACAAGGAAACAGATGTTTTCTTGGATGAGATGCATAAGAAAAAGATTAGTAAGAGAAAGCAAGAAAAAAAGCTTAGCCAATCATATGTGCTTTTTCAGGACTCATCCTCAACTACTTCTGAATCACTTCACCATAAAGCAAACCTCTCCATGACTAACACTAAACATGCTCTTCTGAAACAGGTAGTCAAAGAATTGACTTCAAAGAAATCCTCCTTGGTTCATATAAAGCCCAAAAAATAGAAGAGAAACAGATTAATTTATCAGAAATTAAGGGGACAAAAGTCTCCTATAATCAGAAAGTAGAACAAGATTTAATATATGAATTACTTGAATTTATTACATGGCATAATTCCATATCCTTACCGAATTCTATATCTAGCAAACATATTCTAGTCGACACCGACTCAACTCCAGGTTTTGTATCTCATTTAGCTCATTTATTCGACAAGGTTGACAAAACTGGTCAGAAAGAAAAATTACAATAGTATTACTATAGTGAGAAATATAAAAAAAAGGTTGTAATCCTTAGTTCTGAAAATAATATGTTTTAAAGTTAAATAAGGAAATTGTTCTAATACCATTTCAATAACGTGTTGTTGTCTTTCTTTTGGGTTTTTAGGTAGAACAGAAATTGTTGATCGAGATTTTGATAGCATAGACTGAATATTTACTCACGGTACAAATAAAGTTTTCTCCTCAAAAGATTCAGAAGGTTTGGAATTCATCCAAGAATCGAGACCAGTTTTTTTTTTGTATCTCTTATATAACTTGGAATGAATTTTGTTGGTTAAAACACTTGGTAATCCAGTAAATTTATTATTCTATTCCAAATATTTAGGAGTTAATATTTTATTGGACTTTGTCTGTATATTCATATTATCATTTATGTAATTGTGTATCTTTTTAAATTAACATGATTTAACAAAAAAAATATGCCTCAGAGAGACACCTTAAAGACTTAAGCAAATTGTGTTAATATAAGACAAATTTCATACTATTACCTCAATTTCAACTTCCTGCTTTTCACATTTAATATAATAGAATCCAATTTCATATAAGTCAGAGACTCTATGCTTCGCATATCTACCTTCTATATCTTCATCATCATCATAATCTAATTTACATAATAGGCATGATATCTCATCAGTAATCCCATAATAATTAAAATTTTCACTACTACCTTCTCAATATAAATTAGGATATTGATCTAATGTTTTGTTACGAAAATAGAATCGATTATAAGTTGGCTTAAATTGGGCTCATACATTAGTCTGATTGGTTTTTGAAGTCTGAGGAGTGCTTATTCTGACATCTGGCAATTTTTTTGATTCAGACTTAGCTAGTAGATCATGTGCACGTAAACAATTGTTTACATCTATCAATTTTTGAGATTTGGTTAGTTCATCAGTATAAAGATTTATTATATTCTGGATTTGTGTATCAGTTAGTCTAGAGATCGCAACAGCGCTACATGTAACTACTCTAATTTTATCTATTCCTGTTCCTTTAAACAATGTATAAATGTTTTTAGCCTTTTGTATCATTTTACGCAAATATTCTCTCTTTTTACCAGAGAAATACAGCTCTATATAAAGTTAGAATTAAAAGCAAAATCCTTTCTAGATATTTAAAATAGATATCCTTGCTTTAATTTTTTGTATTATATTTTTAACAAAAGCTTTAGCTTTATAGAAATAGTGAAGTAAACAATTCTGATCTTGCATAATAGTCTAATGCAAATATTTTAAACTATATTTAAAAATTGTATTGATTTATTATAGCTTAAAAAATAAATATACAAAGTTTATTATTTTAATTAAAATAAAAAATTTGATTTTGCTATAACTCATATTGTACAAAAAGAACTATGTACTAATTTTTTAGTTAATTAGTAATCCACAAATTAGCTAGAAAGTGATCAACTACCTCAACAACACCACCAAAAATTATTGGTAATACAAGATCTAGCCAATAGTAATTCATCACTATTAAAGATCTCTTCTTAAGATTTTGAATTTTTATTTAACTTCTAGCAAAGATTTTTTAATAAATACTTGATTAAATTCAATAAAAAAATTTTTTATTAATTCTGTACTATTATAGAACTAAAATATTTGTTAAGTTTGGTTTAATAGTTATTAAAAAATTTTTAGAAAATATTAAAAAATTTTTGAATATCTTGGCTAAAATCAGTTAAATTTTATCTTTTTTTTTTTAACTTTAAGTAAAGATTTTTTGACAACCAATTATTTATATTAGATAAAAAAAGTTTATTTTAATTCTATAAGTTCATAGAATTAAAATAAAGAATTTTTTATCAAATATAGATAGTTGGTTGTCAAGAAATTTTTATTAAAAGTAAAAAAAAAATTGGCTACAGCTTCTTTTTTATAGGCATTTAAATTTTGAATGAAGATTACTCTATACTTATTTGACCAAATTTGATCAATTTTTTTTTATTTTAATTCTATATATTAATAGAATTAAAATAAAAATTTTGATCAAATTTGGTTAGGTAAGTATCAAGTAATCTTTGTTCAAAATTTAAATACCTATAAAAAAAAGTCTGTAGCTAATTTTTTTTTTTAATTAAGAATTCTCAACAACTAACTATCATATTTAATAGAAATTTTTTTATTTTAATTCTATAAAAGTATAGAATCAAAATAAAAAAAATTTATTAAATATAGATAGTTAGTTGTTAAGAAATCTTTATTAAAGTAAAAAAAAAAACAGCTTCTTTTTGTAGGTATTTAAATTTTGAACAAAGATTACTTAATACTTATCTGACCAAATTCTATCAAATTTTTTTTTATTTTAATTTTATATTTTATATATCAATAGAATAATTAAAATAAAAAATTTTGATCGAATTTGGTTAAGTAAGTATCAAGTAATCTTTGTTTAAAATTTAAATGCATATAAAA